TTCATATTGTTTATTCTGATGTTTGGGGCCCTGTTACTCTACCTACTGAGGCTGGATATAAGTACTTCATTACCTTGATTGATGATTACTCTAGATACACTTGGGTTTACCCTACGCGATCTAGAGATGAAGTGCCAAAAATTGTGAAAGACTTTCAACGCATGGTGTTCACTCAGTTCCAAACTGAAATCCATATCTTCCAGTTGAACAATGCGAAGGAATACTTCCATGGAGATCTCACGGAGTTTTCTGCTTCGAGTGGGTCACTTCAACAAAGCTCTTGTGCTAGGACACCCCAACAAAACGGTATTGCTAAACGAAAGAACCGTCACCTTCTCGAAGTAGCTCGTGGCTGATTAATTCATATAAATGTGCCAAAATGTTTTTGGATGGATGCAGTTTTGTATGCTACATACATCATCAACCGTATGCCATCTCGGTTACTAGAGTATAAGGCCCCACATCAGCTTCTGTTTCCTATAGCTCCGTTGTCCACCATTTCGATGCATGTTTTTGGGTGTCGTTGCTTTGTCCATAACTTGTCCCCTACTCGAGGTAAGCTTGATCCTCGGGTTATTCCTTATGTTTTCCTTGGTTAAACTTTATCTCAAAAGGGGTACCGTTGCTATGATCCTACCTCTCGCAAGTACTATGTCTCCATTGATGTATCCTTCTTTGAGAATCAACCTTTCATCTCGGTTTTTCCTCAGGGGGAGAGTAGGGTTGAGGAGAAACAGGTGGCTCAAACTCAACTACCTCCTTTACCCGATCCTCCTCCATTCCGTGTCTTCCATCGTCGCCATAAAAGCCAGTAGAGCTCAAGAGTCGTGGAACCTGACACTATGCAACCAACATCAACGGATTCGCCAGAGGCAGATCCTTCTCATCAGCCAGATACACTTGCTCCTATTGATATGCCTGTTCCTCTCAATGTTGATTCCCCTATCATCAATGATCTTGATGTTCCTATTGCTAAGAGAAAGGGTGTTAGATCTTGTACCACTAATCATCCTATCTCTAATTTTGCTAAGAGAAAGGGTGTTAGATCTTGTACCACTAATCATCCTATCTCTAATTTTGTGTCCTATGATCACATTTCACCTTCATTCCATGCATTCCTCTCTTCTGTGGACAGTGTCCTCGTTCTTAAGAATGTGGCAGAAGCTTTATCTAAACCTAAATGGATAGATGCAATGCAAGAAGAAATTGATGCATTACACAAAAATGGCACTTGGGAGTTGGTGGATTTTCCTGAAGGGAAGGAACCAATGGGTTCCAAGTGGGTGTTCACAGTGAAACACAAGGCTGATGGAACTGTTGAAAGGTATAAGGCTAGACTGGTAGCAAGAGGTTTTACACAGGTATATAGAGTGGACTATGCAGAGACTTTTCCTCCAATAGCCAAGATGAACTCTATCAGGATTCTTCTTTCATTGGCAACAAATCTTGACTGGGAACTTCACCAATTGGACATCAAAAATGCTTTCTTGAATGGTGACTTGGAAGAGGAAGTGTACATGACGCAACCTCTAGGATTTTGTGCCAAAGGCAGTGAACAAAAAGTGTGCAGGTTAAAAAAATCTTTATATGGGTTGAAACAATCACCTCAGGCTTGGTTTAGTATGTTCCACTTAGCAGTTCAACAGATGGGGTTCAAACAATGTCAGTCAGATCACACTTTATTTGTGAAAAAAGGTGAAGGGAAAATTGCAGCTCTAATTGTGTATGTGGATGACATAGTGATTACAGGAGATTGGGAGGCTGAAATACGGAGACTAAAAAAGTTCTTAGCCACTCAATTTGAGGTGAAAGATCTAGGCCCCTTACGTTATTTCCGTGGAATTGAAGTTGCCCGCTCTCACAAGGGCATCTTTATTTCCCAATGGAAATATGTACTAGATCTACTAGAAGATACAGGCAAGTTGGGGGTAAAACAAATTGACTCACCAATTGAATCTAATCATCGGCTAGGAGACAGTTAGGGAGAGTTTTTGAAAGATGTGAAGAAGTTCCAAAGACTCGTAGGGAGACTCTTGTATT